TCAGCACCTAAACTCATCCTCCTACCAGCTAATCTCATTCACAGAGTCTCAGAGGCACTCCAAACTCCATCTAGGCTTGACTTCACAGACTTCTAGCCAGTGGCTGCAGTGAGGATCCTTGAGGACAGGGGAGGAGAGTGATTTCCAGGAGACTTTCTTTGTGCAAAACTCCGAAGGTACAAGTAATGAGCAAAAGCCAGATCACTTTAGGGGACATTGCACATTCTCCCAAGTTCTGAATAAAGCCCCTGGGATCATCTGGAGGATCTGAAATTCTTACAGTCTGAAGCAAGGCTCAGTCAGCCCCACAAAATATTCCTTCCTTTCCTTGCAGTGCATTGGTTCCCTGCAGGAAGAATGTGATGTCTGCTCTGCTGCCCTCTGTACAAGCCATTGCAAGGTTGAACCAGAAAACTGCATCCCGCACTTTGGCATAAAACACAGCATCTCTTAACTTAGTCGTTTCCAACTGGTGGGACACCCTCACACAAGGTCTTCTTTGGTTACACTTGTTTCTAGTCTGCCACTGTTTCTATAGACTTCTCTGGGTTCCTAAATGTACACTTTATGTGAATCAACCCTCTCATTCAATATTCACTAAGACCCAGTCAGGCCCTGGGCTGGATGCTGGGGAACAAAGAGGAAGGCAACTTAATCTCCCAGACCTCAGTTTGTATTTAATAGAATAGTTCTCTGGATTTTTGAGATTATCTTGACTTAGATTCTTTTAGCTTTCTAGCATGTTTCTTCAGAATAATGTACACTTTCTGCATCAAAACTTTTCTCAAGAAAAATGCTGAATTTTGCACATTTTTGCCTGAAAAAATGTGACTCTGTGTTTTCTAGGGTAGAAGTGTGATACTGAGTAAAAACAATGCTTTTGTTTTTGCAGGTCTTATCATTTCTCTGCAGCTTCTTCGTGGAGACATGGAACAGATTAGGAGAGAAAATCCTATGATATTTAATAGGGGATTGGCAATTACAAGAAAATTGGGATTCCCTGATGTCATCATGCCAGGTAGGCAGAACTTCTTGGGGCTGGGGTGGGAGAAGGGTTAGGAGGATTGAGTCCAGTGCTCCCCTTGTGAGCAGGTGGTGAACTATGCTGTGGAGGAGCCCTGCAGCCATTAAAAGCCTCTACAGCCAAAGTCAGGTTGCTGACTGCAGTCTACAGCCAGTGGCTCCTTTGACTCTTGTTGGCATCTGTTCTTTTCCAGAAGCCCCCACATATGTTCACCAGTGCAGCACAGCAATCCAGCAGATGAGCTTTTTTGTCTCCTATGGAGACCGGATGGTAGGATTCAATACAGAACTTCTCATGGGGATGGCTTTTTATACTCTTCTCTTCAATTACATTTCCTAGAGGAGAATCCCCTCATAGGAACATCCTCTTTAAGGAAAATAGTGCCTATAGTGTCAATGAATCCCAGTTCAGTTCATGTAGGAATAGCAGATATATTTGTATCAGAAAAATGAATCATAATGAAAATACCATAAGGTATCAGAAAAATGGGTCAGGCAAATGGTATAAGTTAGGCACTATGAATAGTACTATCTGGCCAGTTTCTCAGAAACTGTGCACTAACAACTGACAGCCCCCTTAATGCACCCCAAGATATCATCAGAGTAGGTTTGCCATCCTTGGGCAAGGGGATAGGGCTAGCCCTGCAGCTCCTGCTGGAGCAGCAGGAAAAGTGTGCAGCAGTGTCTTAAATTGTGGTCAGCCTGTCTTGGGAAACCATGTCTGTGGCAAGAAGTCCCTAAGTGAGGTCACCCCTCCACCTGCAGCTGGTCCACTCATCACCTGGGGAAGTATTGTACCTGGGCTGCAGCAATCCCACACCTCACGGTCCTGTTGTGACCGAATTACAAGAAGTTGTGACTTCTTGATGCATGGTCATATGGGAGATGAATAAGGAAATAAATTATGTTAGTAACTGTGAGCATTTCAACACTTAAGTCTGAGAAATTAGAGTAACTGGGAAAATTAGAATTATTCATATACTGTGATTCTTATTTTGAAACTACCAGCATTTGGCAGAAACCACCAGATACTAATCTGGAGAGGTCCTTTTTGTCAGATGGCCCAGATAGGTCCTTGTCAAAGCATACTGACAGAGCTTACAGCTCTGAGTTTCAGCATTTATAACCACACCAGTATCTAACATACCATTTCAAAAAAGGTCTTTCTGATGGTCTCCTATTGCTTTCCATGAGTGTGTACACATACACCATGTGACTGGTGTGAACAGGAGATGTCCTACTCTTTGCCACAGCTGAGGCCCTGACTACACAGCCATCCAGCTGTGCTCATGACCCATGGTGGTGAGCAGGAGGCAAGTCTGCCATTGCTGGTGTTCTGGGAGGTCACAGAGAAGGCACATCAACCCAGGAAACGTCATCCAAGATTATAGAAGGATAAACAGATGCGGGAATTTAAACCTTACTTTGAAACTGAGCACTTAACAGACTTCTGTTGGTTTGTCACCATATCTCTACGGGTATTTCCTCCTTCCCTCCAAACTCATTTTAGTTGCGTATGAAAGCTAATAACTCTATAGCACACTTTTACTCCTTTCTTAGATTTTTGTTTGTTTGTTTTTGTGGTACGCGGGCCTCTCACTGTTGTGGCCTCTCCCGTTGCGGAGCACAGGCTCCGGACGCGCAGGCCCAGTGGCCATGGCTCACGGGCCCAGCCGCTCCGTGGCATGTGGGATCCTCCCGGACCGGGGCACGAACCCGTGTCCCCTGCATCGGCAGGCGGACTCTCAACCACTGCGCCACCAGGGAAGCCCTCTTAGATTTTTTTCAAGAAACTGAAGAGGAAATATTGGAGCAGGGCAGATGTTTCAGGTGAATGAGGTGAATGTTGAAGTTAACATTGTTTTCTGTGACTCACTTGTCAGAATTAGCCAAAATAAAACTTTAAAGAAAACTGCCAAAAGACTGTAAACTGAAAGGAATGATTTAAAACCACTTGCTCAAGAATGGTCTGTACCCTTCTCCAGACCACATCTAAGCCAGCAGAGATGTGCCACCAGCTTCTGTGTAGTTCTCTGTTAGCTTTCCTGGAGAGTCTGTTCCCTGGAGTCAGTAGGAATACAGAGCTCTGTCATGCCTCTGTGGGAAATAAGTATTTTAACTTGTTTTATAAACCTTGAGTCTTTAAGGTTATCATTTACTGTAGGCGTTATGGGCCAAGTTTCATGTTAGTTAAATGAGCTTCTCTCTTGTCAGAAGAAATCTGCCCTTTGATTTAGTATGTTCTAGCTGATGGCCAAGTTTTTCCTAAAGCAGTAGTTTTCTAACTTTAGTATGTATCAGAATCACCTGCAGTGCTTGGAAAAACACAGATTGCTAAGCCTAACCCAAGAGTTTCTGAGACAGTAGGATTAGGGTGGGACCTGAGAATTTGTATGCCTCACAGGCTCTCAAGTGATGGCGATGCTGCTGGTTTCGGACCCCCTTTGAGAACTATGCCCTAGAGAGTACTGTGCTTTAGGGATGCTTTGCCCTTCCCTGAGTCAGACCTGGCACAAGCTCGTCTCTGGGTTGCCCTGACCTTGCCCTTTAGAAGGCAGCTATGCTGGCATGGCAGCCCTCTAGGGGGCCCCCTGACTCTTGCCCTTGTGCTCAGAAATACACTCTGTCCTTTGCTTTGACCCCTGATAAAAAGTGCATGCTTCATCACCAACCTGCAAGTGATGTTTTTTTCTCTCTTTTCCTGTTTGTCTTAATTGTTCTTGTTTTTCTCTGTGCTGTCCCCTCATTCTTGCCCCTTTGTTTCTGGTGCAGAGATGAAGATAGTTGGGTGTAAGTTCCTGCTTTTGTGTGTCCTGTCTGCTTTTGCCTGCTTTGTTTCCATCTTCATTTGTTTCACGGAATGTTATGCTGCAATACTGGGGTGGGGTGTCATTTACATTATTAATCCTTCATCAGCCTCACCTTTTGGGATAACTGACAAGACATTGGAGAAGCTACCAGCCCAGCCTAGAGACTGTGTATTACTTAGGGTGTTCATTAAGATCAGAGAAAACTAAGGACATGTTGGAATGTTTAGAAAATCTTAAAAAGCCCTAGGTGAATAGATACAGGAAAGGATTTTTGTGAGACGGATCAGCTACTCCCATTGAAAAGAAAATGAGTAGTGCTTATCCCAAGCTACAAAGAATCAGAAAGGCAGAAAGCTGCTCTTTTCAGCTCTGCTGGACACATCTCATGACTTTTGAAAGAGACACGACTTTTGAAAGGAAAGCTATTCTCAGCAGAGTGATGAAAGTATTTACCACAAGTATATTCATAGGACTGTGGTCAGTCTGAATGTCAAATGAAGCTTTGGCAGTATCTCTAAGGGAGGGTTTAGGAATAATCACATCTGGTCCCACAACAGGTTGGAAGATCATCACATCCCTGATCCAAGAAAGGAATAATCGTATATAGTGATGTCACACTATGCCCATTCCTGTCATCCTGTTACAGCAGAGAACATCACTGACTTTGTAGCAAAAGAAGCCAGAAGTGTTGACACTGAAGACATGGTTAGAAAAATAAGGAACCTGTCTTTCCTGGATACTAAAGAAATCCTCCCGAGAGTCTTTTTTAGTCTCTTCCTCAGAATAAGAATTACTACAACATAAAGCATTGGTCATGTGTCTGAAAGTGTCCATATTAATGGTAGTTAACATCTCCACATCTCCATGAATGCTGTCAGGAGACTCCTATTCTGCCAAGAGACAGGATTGGCACCATCCCAAGCAGGCTGCTGTGTCTGCTGGGAGAAAGTTAGTTCTAGTTTTACATGGTCTTAAGGGAAGGAAAGCACTATCCACAGAAGCTCTTCCTAATCCTATCTAGAATTAGACAAGGTCTAAATAATGTATTTAATACTGTTATCCTTGAACCTAGAGGCTCCACACATGTGGTGTGAGTAATTTATACAGGAGGAACATGAATGTAATAAAGAACCCAAGCAAGTCTTAGTGCCCAGGGACTTCCCTGGTGGCACAGTGGTTTAGAATCCGCCTGCCAGTGCAGGGAACACGGGTTCGAGCCCTGGTCTGGGGAGATCCCACATGCCACGGAACAGCTGAGCCCGTGCGCCACATCTACTGAGCCTGCGCTCTAGAGCCTGTGAACCACAACTACTGAAGCCCGCAAGCTGCAACTACTGAAGCCCGTGCTTCATGCCACAACAAGAGAAGCCACCCGCAATGAGAAGCCTACACACCGCAACGAAGAGTAGTCCCCACTCACCACAACTAAGACACTGCTGCAAACCTGTGTAGGCTGTCCTGGACCATTTCTCCTGGCATAGAATTCTACACAGGCTGGAACTATGTGGCCCCAAAACTTCAAGTAAGGCTGGAGTGTCTGGCAAGAGACTATCTTGCTAACAGATGCTCTGGTACCTGAGCTGGACCTTGAAGATTCTGACACCTCTACGGAGACTGCTTTCAGAAGAGACCTGCAAACAAGTTGTGAGCTGTTTCTCCAAAGTCATGCTAGGATTCAGGTCTTTGGATGATCAAACCTGGCCACTGAAGCATGCACTTTTCTCTCTGCTGGATGCAGCTCTGTCACAGTGCTCCTCAGCCCTCTGAGATTACTGGCAGCTGAAAAGCACTGTTTCCTTCTAAGACCTATCACTCTCTAAGGACGCCAGAATGTTTCATGCCAATCCCTGATGCAATAAGATGGCCTCAAGTTCATTACCTTGCTCCTTCCCAGCAGCTGTTTATTGTAGACTTATAGGAATCTGGATTTTTGGTGTGTAGTTGCAGCATAGTGATGCTGCTCTTGACACTTGAACACTCCAATTCAGGTATCAGCAAACTATAGCCCATAGGCCAAATCCAGCAGCCTGTTTTTGTACTACCTACCAGCTAAGAATGGTTTTTTACATTTTAAAAGGGTTGTGAAAACAAAGAACATGAGACAGAGACCTATGTGACCTACAAAGCCTAAGATACTTACTATCTGACCTCTTAGAGAAAAAGTTTGCCAACCTCTGCCTACTCTTAAGTCCCTAGTTCTCTGACATGCAGTTATACCAACAGCTGTCACTGGCTGCTTTGTGAAACTGTGAAAGGGACAAAGATTATTTATTCTGAAGCCCTCTTACAAGAACAACCTCATTCATTCATCTTCCCATTCAAGAAACTCTGTTGCATGTCAACTGAGCACTAAGCATTCAGAGATGTAAGGCATTGCTGATGCTGTTAGAGGCTCTGCCTACCTTAGGAAGCAGAGGACACCTAACAAATGGAGTCAGGGCTGCCCTCAACGATACGCACTCCCACTCCCCGTGGAAAAGCCTCCCCCTTCCATATCCGTCCCAGCATTCCTCCATGCTGCCTAAGAGGTGCCCAGTCCCCCACCCTCAGCCAGACTTCACTAGTATCTTCCCAGCAGACCCCCACTTTATAGTCCCCTGATGTTAAACCCTGGAGAGCATCAGAATTATCTGATGATTTTTTTTTAAATACAAGTACACAAGCCCACCCAAGACCCACTAGAATCTCAAAGGGTGAATATTAGAAATCTAATTTTAACAAGCTCCCTAGGTGATTCAAATACAGTCAGCCAGGCAGTGGTCTTCAGACTAACCACAGAAACCCACTGTTCAGGACTTCTCTTTCCCATTCTTATGATAAGGTGCCTGTCCTCATCCCTCTCTTGGTAATATTTCTTGGCCATTGGTGCTAAAGTTTACATGAGGCTCCTGGAGACAGTACCTTAACCCAGAGGCATGATTCCACTTGTAGGCTTTGTGAACATGTAACATACAATAAGGATAGCTGAAGAGCAGGGACCCTGGGAAGCTCTCTGTAAGGCAGGCCTGGGTCATTACATTCTGGAGCTTTTCACATTTGTTTCTTCTAGTTCCTTGAGAATTAGTGGAGAGCTCAATTTAAATGATCCTCCAGAGAGCTTTTGACAAGAAGGCCCCAGCACCATTAACTATTAAAAAGTGCTGCTTTCAAAACTGAGGCCATAATTTGCAAAATTGCAACCCATAAGGCAGCCTGATACCAATTCTGACTGAGAACAACCTTGGTCTAGGCAGGTCTGTCCTCTAAATAAAGAGCAAAGATCTGATGAAATCAAGCTGCTTCAGTGTGTAACCCAGAAGGTACAGTTGCTTGTATTTATAAATTTTCTCAGCTAGACGATCACCAAAGCATTCTGTTTAAATAGAAAATTTTAAAAGAATGAAAACTGTAGGAATGTCTAGCTCAGTCCTTCCATTTGAAATTGGCATTTTGGTTTAAAATACCCTGGGGGAGCTGCCCAGAATCTATGAGCTCACTCTATAAAACCAAAACAGACCAAATTCTGTCATTGTCAATCTCCAAGACAATACCCAATTTAGTATTAGTATTTTATATCATATATTGCTAGGAAAAGTTTGAAATGTTCCATTTAAGGACATACTTATTATAATATGGTTAACTTTTGTATAGAGCCACAGAAATTTATATGTTTGTACAAGCTAGACTACTATTGCTGCTTTTAAAAGTCACGTGAATTATCTTGAGAATAACTGCCAGAGAGTGCTGACTTATACCACAGTAATTTTAAACAAAGCACCTATTCTTTAGATATTAAAATTCTCTAGACTATTCACTTTATGCCAAATCGTCCTAGAAATTGAATAATTACTTAAATTCCATAGAAAAGCTAATGTGTAACTAAAAAGCTTTTATCAGGAGAAAGCTCTGAGATGTCTGTTCCAGTTGTTAAAAATTTAAGGTGCAACCAACTCTGATTTATCCCATTATAATGGCAGTAACCCATAGTAAAGTTCCCAGTTAATTTTGAATTTTACTTTCAGGGCTGATTTTATCCAGCCTCTGTCCTGATGGTAGCAAACTAATGAATTTGAGTTTTCCTTCTCCTTCTGCTAGTCTTCCCCACCCTACCTACACACCTATTAAAATAGGTGACCTGCTAGGAGGGCCCAAGCAGGGATGTCCAAAAGAGGAAGATTAAAGTGTCAAACTCATCAAACTTCAAAGGAGAGGTTCTACTCAACCCAGGAGGAAAGTCTATATGGACTGCAAGGATGGACACCCTGAAGTCTGTCCCATCTACCCAGCAGTTGCATTTGTGTGTGATTTTCAAGAACACATTTTCCTCTTCCCTTCATGGTAGCCTCAGGGCTATTTGTTTGGGGAAATAGCTTTCACACATTAGAGAAAGTTCTCTGCGCTTTCAGAGAATAATTGTTTCTCAGGGACTGCTCTTCCCCACTTGGGTCAAAGTGTTTTGAGAGTATTATGTGACCAAATAACCATGATTGCACTCCTACAGTAGGAAGGCGACCTGAATAATAGAAGGTCTGGTCATGAAGACCCCCAAAGACCAAGATATATGCCAGTCCTGGTCTATCACTGTTTCATATGTAAGAGACACTCGGACACTTCCACAGTTAGAGAGGTGGACAGTGCAGAAAATGAGCTGTCAGTCATCATGTATCTGACCAAACCAGAAAGCTCAGTTGCTAACCCAAAACAAAGACTTATGTCATTGTGATTCCAAGTAATGAACAGATTTAGATGTGCCAGTTTTTCTAAAAACTGAAGGAGAAAGTATTTCTGGCTTCTGAATTGGCTTGCTTTGCAAGTTAATTAATTGTTCCGTTAACTTTTAGTTGATTTTTTCAGGCTGCTAACACATCTTCACTTTGGCCTTACCTGGTTTCCTTTGTCATTTTATTCCTTTGAAGATTTTTTTTCCCACAGCCTTTACTATTTTTTTTGAAAGTCAAAAGCCCTTCTTTAGTTTGTGTTGCGTAAAATTTGTCATTTTATGGGTTTAGAAGCTTAGAGCAGCCTAAATAAGCTCCTTTTATGCATGAACAGACAATTCCTTCCCCCCTAAAAAAAGGCATTTGAGACTTAGGTCATTTCAGACTTGCAGTGTGAGCTACTGCTGCCCAGTCTCAAGCAGCAGGTATGGGCTAGAGTCAGAGCATGCAGAAGCAACAAGAGCACAACAGACTGTCGCCCCAGTCCTTTGGCACCTGTGCTTTTGGAGAGTCACCTGCTCCCAGAGCACTTGCTACAAAAAGAAGAAAAACTGACAGTCCAGTGACCTCTGCCTGACACTCCAGCAGGGAATGGGATTTGGAGGTAAAGCTTCCAGAAGGAAGTAGTAGTTTATCCTCTAGTCAGACTCAGAAGGATTGAGGGTTGCAAAAAGAAAACCAAGAAAAAAAAAGAGAAATGATTTTAGTTGTTGTTGTTGTTTTTGAGGGAAAGGAGGAGGGATTAGTAGTTAAGACATAGACATGATTAAAATAAGTGTTATTCCTGTTGATTCTAAAATCTTTCCTCACTGGGGGACTTAGATTACAGCTATTCTCCTGGAGGGGAGAGAGACTGAGCAGACACCTGCCATCTGCCTTTTCCCACCCTAGACAAGCTGTGGTGAACACCTTTAAGATTCAGACTTAGAGAGCACATGACTAACCAACCTGAGTACTGCTGCACTGATATTGGTAGAATGTCTATTGTTATTAACCAAGCTTGGAATGCCCTGAGCACCCACCTGAACCCTGGAGGATCCAGATGCTAGCTTTATCCTCCATGCACATGGGGCAGAGTGGCTTCTGCGGTCATGAAGACATGACATTTCTTTCCCCACAGGTGATATCCGCAATGACCTGTACCTAACCCTGGAGAAGGGGGACTTCGAGAGAGGGGGAAATAGTG